GGATGTCGAAAATCCACACCACGATTGGTTGGATCTTTCGAATTGCACCATATATATGTTGAAGACCTGCTTTCCATCGCAAGTCCGTCACAGTCGTGCACCCTTTGGCTGCACCGAGTCACCTACCTAGCATACCTTCAAGAGATCCCTTATCAGAGAAAGTCTGGGTTACGGGATTCGTCACAGGGTGGGTTTGCTTGTAAATCCAACCTGCGAATATAGTAGGGCGGAGCACGGATATGCAATTCCTAGCTGAGTGAAAGTTACTTTGAACTCTTGACCTTATATCGGTATAAGAGGTATGAGATCGATGATCAAAGCTAGCATAACGTAAGAAGGGGATTTATCTCTACAAGCACGAAAAAGAGCAACCGGCTTGCATCATCACAGACTGTGAAGAGTATGCTTCCAGACCACCGATGTCACCAACCCTGAGAAGATCCAGGTCAAGAAATCTGTCACGGATATGGCCCGATCTCCCCCTCATAGGTTCGGAGTTTGCTGAACCCGTCATCAAGTGTCGTAGGGCACTTGGTCTTGCGGTATGGTTTTCGCTACAGCTGTGAAAGGTCGGAGTGTACATCCATCATGACGCAGGGATCCGAATCCTTCTTTCAACGAATACAACAGGGCACTTGGTCTAGGGGTATGATTTTCGTTTCGCATTCTGCAGGTCTTGCAATTATGAAAGGTCGAGGGTTCAATTCCCTCAGTGTCCAGTTCTTTTTTGCCCTTTTTTACAAATTTTTTTGGCCTGCACAATGTAATTCTAGACATCATTTGCGGCTCTTGGAATTCTTTTCGAGACGTTTTGTTACTTGGGGGTTGCGGTCATGTGCGAAAGCAACAACATTTTTTTTTCTTTTTCTTGCGAGAGACCCACCAGGCACCAGCCTTTTTTTCATCCCCACTCCACTTCCACTTCCGCTGACCTTTGCTCAGCTTCAACAGTGAGAAAGAATTGTGAGGCACCAAAGACACATAGGCTGAGGTAGGCAAAAGAGAGAGAGGGAGGAGCCATCAATATGAAGGGCTGTATTGCAATTGTTAGTCCTGCGTACGTGGTACCAGTTATATATCATCAAGTCTTCACTACGAACACCCAACAAAAGTTCCCCAGGACAGAGCCTCATGCAACCAACCAGAGACCGAAGAGGCGCCAGAGAAAACTGTCCGAGGTCTGCATTTCATAGTTCTAGACGAAATACATATACTTTCACAACGATCGATCTGTCGCGTGCAGAATCGTTCTTTTTCTCCCCTGCCAGCTGAACGCCACAACGTCTCAGGCGCTGATGCCAAGACCCAGTTAGACCTGTGTAACCACCACAAGACGAAAGGAGATTGGGTAGAACCGTCCACATCGACGACGGGACGCTGTATAAAAGGAGGCGATGCCCCTGTTGGTGCTATTTTCGAAGGGGAAGGTCAACGATGGTGGTAAGACGGAGGAACTTCTTCCCTGCGATGCCTGGGGAAACATTGAGGTTCTGCTGAGAGAATAGAAAAGAATATAACTGTCACGGTATTGACCGTGACTTGCCCTGTGCCCTGGTCGTGGGTCCTCAGAGCTGGCTGGGTATATTCCACCAGCCAGCTACCCCACCAACCTTTCCTCTCCTTCGTACAACCTTGTTGTTAGATCACATACCATAACAATAACTCTGTTTCCCTTTTATTTTGACATTAGGAAGAACCCAAGGCGACAGTGTTGAAGTTCCTCTTCCTGAAAACTAGTCGAATACCTCGAACCAACACGTCATCCATCTGATATCACCCCCATACGTTGTGAAGCAACAGGCATCTCGATCCCGCGCAAAGGAAGCCAGAGCTCGTAACTCGACGAATCTATCCACGATCGTATAATCTCCATCATATCTCTGCCCACCCTTAGAAGACATCGAACCGAACACACCCGCCAAAATGCAACTCCCAACCATCCCCCTCCTCTCCATCTCCCTCCTCCTCGCCTCACCGGTCCTCACGCAAAGAACCACCAACCCCCCCTGCGTCCAAGATTGCATAACCAAAAACCTCGCAAGCTCCTTCTGCGACGGCGACGAGACCGGCGCCGCCCTCGACAAGTGCACCTGCGACACATACACCAGCGGCAACGCCGGCCGAGCCGCTAGCTGCGTGAAACAGAATTGCTCGAGGGAAGACCAGGTCGTTTATGCGAGATATATCCCCACGCTGTGCCGGGACCAGTTTTTCCCTGGTTTGCAGGTTCCCGACGCTTCTTCGACTGGTGGCTTGACAGCGACGACGGGAACGAACATTCCTACGGGAACGGGATCAGGTGCTGGGGCTGCGAGTAGTACCGCTGCTGCCGTGCCTTTGGTTGGGAGCTGGGGGGTGGAACAGCTGGTTGCGGTCGGGGGGGTTTTGGTTGCTATGGTGCTGTGAGGGACTCAATGGGAGCGTTGAGGCAGGAAGATGCATGTGGGAACCTTGAAAGTCACGGTATAGTCGATAAGCATGGCTTTTCACCTGTGGGATGGAGGGATCCGTTGAATAACCAGCATCTTGTAGAACCAGCCTTAACATAGCCCATGTGCCCAGTTTTCGTCTGCGTTCATAGAATGGAAATCCACCTGGTCAAAGCAGAGACCTTCGAGTTCCAGGTGTAAAATATCAGGGGCGAGTAAGGGCGTGGTCTTTTCCGCGAAAGCACGTGGGGTAGTTCAATCAGATTTTTCTTCCTTTTTGATCATCTGAGATCGCTACTGAATAACGGACTGTCTGCCTTCATAGAGTGGGAACGAAGAAGGGTCAGCAGAGTAACAGCCAATAAATACCAGAGCCAGAGGTTGGAGGCCTACTACAAAAGTGCAACGGAACCACAAGTACAGGAGTCTCTGTGCAATAGTTGGGTCACCGTCTCGCTATTTAAGCCTCCCTTGCGTTCGAAATCCTCCATATGTCACATAATACATCTAACATACTGAATAGCTCTTAGCAGGCTTGTCCGTCTGTATGTATCTCTCCAGCAGAGCCTTTGTGGTGGCTGCGGCAGTAGCGGCACTGAAATTCTGCCACAACTTATTTTTATGGCTGTCTCCATAGTCGCAGACAGCTTTTACCAGGATACACGGAACTTCATCCCACACACCCGTGGCCTCCATCTCGAATGCGAAGAGTTCGTGTTGACTCGCGAGTCTATCTCGGTCTACGCCAGATTTGAGAACTTTGTCCCCAGACCCAATGCGTCCTAGGAAGATGGAAGGAGCTTGCGCCTCCATGATCTTGCCATCGGCCTCTTGCTTTCTTCTGTCCTTGAGTCGCTCTCTCGAGACGAGATGCTCGCTACCGCAGCCGAGTTCATCGCAACTAAGCCGCCTTGATTCATTACAGACTCGGTCGGAGGCTTCATGGTGATGCGCGCACTCACAGGTGGTTGCAGAGTGGTGCTTGTGTTGATAGCCCGGCTTGAAGAGGTTGTCGTGGCTTGTTCCAGGATATCTGTACTTCTCCCCCCTCTTTTTGAGACCGGCGGTTGATTGGAGATTGCCCAAAAAAGCGGCTGCTCGTTTTTCAAGCCTTTCTCGCGCATGATATGTGCCGAACATTGCGAGCAAGTTGCGGATATTCTTGGCCGGCCGGCCGAGGTTATCCTCCACCGTGTCTCTTATCTGAAAGCCGTCTGCGTACTGCCTGCCGCGGTCATATTGAATGACAGTTTTGCTTATAATAACGTCACCGAGGAGAATCTCCACGCCGGTTTCGGGATTGGGGACACCTGCGCAGACGCCAGTGACCAGTACAAGCTTCAGCTGCGTGTAACTGGACCGGAGGCTTGCGGCGGCGCTGGCTGCACTGACTGTTCCCATGCTTGGTAAGAGGACTAAAACGGCATCCAACTTTCCTATACGACCCGTGGTATACGTATTAGTATCTCCGTCAGCCCTGTTGAAAGTGTCTCCAAACTCGTCCCAGAACTCATCAATCAACAGCGACATGGCATCAAATTCTTCCGGTAACGCGCACAAAATCGCTCTCTCAAAGTCGTCTCGCGAGGCTGGTCTCCCAGTTGTCCTGACGGGGACATCGCTCGTATGCTGTCCCACGACTGGCCGTTCCAGTTCGGCGCCGTTCGGTAGATGAGGATCAGGTATCATGATTTCTGGTGACACAAACCGTGGTCTCTGCAATGTTCTGCTGCGTTGAGGAGAAACAAATGGTCTCTTTTCTGCGCGATGATTGTGAATAGTTGATGTTTCCTGCCATTTCCGTTTCGAGTTCGAGCTTGGTGGATGGACAAGGAGCTCAAGGTTGTGCACAATCTTTTCGTAGATTGCCTGTCTCACCAGTTCTTTGGCTTCCGTGGTGCTCATGCCGTCCTGTACCCTCGGCAACGACATGTGTAAGTAGAGGCAGCCTTCAACAGCTTTAAGATAGTTGCCATCACCAGCCTTTTCAGCAGCAACATCCACAAATCCACACATTTGTCCCCATTTTTGGGTGTTGGCGGTGTTAGTGGGATGAATTGCCATGGAGAGCTTCTCTCCACCCTCTATTTCGAGTAATAATCGAGCAAAGGATAGCAAGATTGGGTTTCCAGGACCAAACAATCTTAGCAGGTCTGGATTTGACTCTGTTAAACCGGAAGCTGGTCTGAGTGACACATAGAATGGCCCGCTCTTTTGGCGACTTTGAGTATCGGGTAGGAACCATATTTTCTCAGAGTTCCAGCTGTACGAAGCCAGGTCTACCTCCTCATCGAAGAAGTCCATCAAGCATCTTGCAAGGCAAAGCGCTATTGCTGCTTTATCTCGAGACCCAACGATATCGCACGCCGTCCCGTTGAGATAGTCGCGAGGGGTTATTCTGCGGAATGCTCTTTGTTCCAGCAAGTCACTGAGAGTTGGCCCAGTAAGGTTCTTCAGCATCGCTGGGGTCGACGGTCTTTCACTAGAAATATCAAAAAGCCCATTTTCCGTGACCAAAAAATAGAGTTTCTCATGGCGAGCGTTGGCTTGTTGTATCGCTGAACATACCGCCTCGGACCTCTTTCTGCTGCTGATACCGTTCCTGCTGGAAGAGAAATTAGCATCATGATGGTTAGGCACCTGAGACCAGAAATGACCAACTGAAATGTAGTAGTAGTAGTAGTAGTGCATTGAGTGTCTTGCCAAAATTCCTCATCCAAACAACACGACAGCAATATGTCCAGGGGCTTCTGATTCGAGCCCGCATACCACTCATTGGACACCCGAAGTTTCAGTTCGTGTCCTTCTGCACACCTTTGCTGCTTGAACTCCTTGAAGATTGAATTGACGATAACACTAGCCCGTTTTTGAAGCCCCTGGGGTTCGGGCTGGTTTTTTCCAGTCTCTTCGGCGTAGTAGATACTGTGGTCAAGCAATCCCACTGGTTGATCTGGTAGTGAATGACGAGACTGAACAGCCAGTTCCTCTATAAGTTCTCTCCATTTCCTTGTCGCTTCCAAAATGTCGCCCCGTTCGTAACCTTCGGGTAGTTCAAACAGCAACTTAGAACCTGGCCCAGCGACCAGATTGAAATAACCAGATGATCTAGTATCGAGAAGCTCAGCTAACGCACCAAGTTGGCGATATTGTTGGGACAGTATTTTGATATCGCATGGAAGAGAACCTCTCTCGGAAAGGCTCGAAGACCGGCCACGAAATGAGTCTGAATGTGAATTTATGAAATCTCGATTGACGATCGTGTTCAAATAATGCAGAAAGTTCTGTACTGT